TAGCTCTTCTTTTGTCAATTCAAGGTATTGAGTTATTACAAAAGTAACCAAATATAATATGATACAGGATATCCGAGGGTTTCCGAAGCCACTAAGACTCTGGATATAAATATCCAGAGAATTTTGCTAGACCTCTATTGCTCATACTCAATCTTATCGGCAAATAACAAACCTATGTGCACCACCGTAATTTCGGATTCTTCACGCCTTTGCCGTGTTCCAGCAGAGACTCCCAGTTATCCTGTTCTGCCACCATCAAATCAATGGACAAAGCACAAACGTTCTGTGCTGTCTACTTGGCAGGTTACCATTTCTGGTGCTCGATGTGCTTAGGAACGCAGGGAGTTTGATTCATATCTTTGACGAACTGGCAGGCAAAATGAAGTTCTAATGTATACCCATTGCATATATTATCCATCGTACTTTTCATGGTGAGATGTTCGCTTAAGGACATGTGCAATTGACACCGGCTACAATAGGTTGCTTAATGCATTTTTCATTAAGCATTTTGTAGCTAGTTGGGTAATTGAAACAATATTTGACTATGTCATCGTGTGTGATTGCCGTGACGATTCTGACCAGTTGTGAACATTCTAGCTTTCACAGTGGTACCCTTTTGTGAGAACAATAGATGCCAATATTTGGGGTTGCAAGCTGAGTCCTGTTCCACCTCGAGGAAGTAGAATTATATATATGTATATTGTAAAGTGCGACAACTTTAGTATCTGCATCTCCCTTTAAGTACATTAGCAATAATCGTATAAGATTTTTACTATAATAAGTACTAGAAGACGATGGCTACCTGATCGAACAAACACAGCGTAAAAAACTTAGTAGCTTATTCAACTTTGGTTATCGACATGTATGATTTGAGAGATTACAACAAAATTCTAAGTATTGTTTTTACTGTTATTCCGTACTAAAATATAAAAACTAAGCTAGACCTGCAGGGAGTTAGACATCATGAGTTGACAATGTCACCTAAGCGTGCGTTCGTAGACATCGGTTTATGTCGACATGAATACGGTGGGAGGACATCGATAAAGATGCTATTGGGTCTGGCCCCTCCGAAACGATTATGGCCCGATTCACTCTAAAGACACTTTTGCCATTATTATTGTCAATTATTGCTTCAATGTCATATTGTATTGCCATCTGGAACTGCTTTTAATAAAAATAAATATTGAAAACCCAATTATTTATTGAATCGCAATTATTTTTTTCGACCTCTGCCTCCCCCGCTTGTTATTTGAAATGCATTTCGCTGTTATCACAACTTCTCCCGATTGTCGGCCCTTGCCTATAAAAAAAAAAAACTGCATGGCCTACGTAAGTGATCCCATGAGAACTTTAGTGATCAGAGTCAGCCGCTGCGATTCTACAGACGTAAATTGCTTCATGGGTACCTAAATTTGTTTGTACTTGCGTACAGACTCAGGCGTAGATTACGCGGACTAAAACCATTTGAAGTAAAAATTACCATTCTTATCGATAAAAAGAAGTTGAAAAAACATCATCGATAATCTATCCGTCATTTGTACAGATTGCTGTTGTTGCAAAGGTTACGCTTTTCATACAACACTTTTTTTCTAAAACTCCTACACAAGTAGCAGAGTCAGGTTGCTGATGTCAACAACTTGCGGCAGTGCTAGCCTGCGGAAAGACAACTATTTCAACTGGTACTCAGATCACAGATACGCTGAAGCCGTCCTTAAATTTTGTTGCACACGCAGCATGTACCATGATAGGTTTATGTAGCGCGACGGGATATGTCACGTAAACGCACGTAATAGGGCCTTCACACAGTATTACGATGTCATTTGTCTGGCAATAACCCGTGCAGCAACTGCTAAAGTTGGGTGCTCCCTTTGCGTTTCAGAAGCACCGAGACAAGCAGCTAGTTTTTGAAATTTTCCTACATATTTAATCTGGCTGATAATTTGAGGGCCATCCCATCTATGAATAGGACAACCGCAAGCCAACGGCACCAGCATAGCCATATCGAGAATCGCTGGTAAATAGTAGTAAACTCGCACCAGCGTAAGCGCCCCAAGCAGCAAACATGTGAGTGGAGGAGGTTCGTCAAAGCTATCGCTATTCCAGAAAGGGCTACTGTTTTGGATGCTCAACACTATCATTTGATTGGACTAAAAAGCTGAAGCTACCGCTCGTGTGGTCCACCCTCTGAACGGTTTCTCAGCGAACCTTTTGGCACAGTAAACGCGATTGTACACTGTAGCCAGCATGATCTCTGAATATGAGAGACTCTGATCAGTCTTTTACCTTGCACGCCCGCGCCACCTGAGCGCCAAGTCAGCGACGACAACACCGCCCAGCACTGAGTTCGCGTGGCTGGTGGTTGCTCGCTGCCTCTTGCATTCAGTAAGACGTTTCGAAAATGGCGACTTGAAAAAAAAAGAAACGAAACGGTCTGAGTTGAAGGCGGGAGCAATTTGAGGCCATCATTTCCGGCGCGATCGCCGCCGTAATTGCATCGTCGCATTAAACGTCAGCGCCATGGGGGTATGTGCGAGTGGCTCTGGTGCATAATGCGACGCTGACCCAGACGCAGCATGGCACAGCGGAAAGCTGTGTCCAGAGGCTGCGCCATGCCCCACCATTTGTGCCGAGTTACTTCGTGCGGTCGAGATTGGCGCTGCAAGCTGATTGGGCGAGAGCATTTTTCGATCAACTCGAATAGAGCGCCCCCGTCCCTTTCTTTGCGTTGGAGGAGATAAGATCTGGCGCTCCTCATACTACAAAGATAACCGAATAAACTTCAATACTTGATCATTTTGACTGTACAACAAAGAAGTAAATACATCAATTCAACCGCAATTCCTGTTATATTAAATACATTTTACACTTGCGTAAAACCGACAGCAACGACGGTATGTCGAAAGAGTGAACTGGCCCCTCTCGCTCTCTCTCTCCCCTCTGTGTTCTCGGAGCTGGAAAGTCGATCCGCGACAAAACGCCCCCAACTCGCCAAAAGGAAAGAAAGCGCCCGGAAGCCGCAGCCCAAAGCTCAGTCGTGCCAGTCCGGAACGTCGCCACAGGAAGACCAAACGCATCGTCCACAGGAAGCCGCAGCCCCGCGCTTCTCTCTTCTCTCTACACACTCTCTCTCACACACAATGAGCGCCAACTCGGACCGGAGGTGGAGCCTCGCGCGCGCCACCGAGTTCTTCAGCGGCGACGGCAAGCCCGACATGTGCGTGTCTATCGTTGTATACATTAAAGATGTATACGCACTCACCTTTCTCTCTCTTACAGGCTTGACATCCGCGGTATGACGGCCGTAACGAAGGGCGCGGCCGGTAAGCGCGACAAGTTCCGCAAGAGCGTCTCTCGCTGCGGCGTGTCTATCTACGGTCCGAAACACTCGGCCGCGTCGGCTGGAGACTCGGCCAACCGGGAGAAGATCTTTATCGAGGACCCGCGTGCTCCGTGCCTCAATATTGACTACTCGAACGACGCGTACCGCTTGTTACCGTCGTCTGAAAAGTTCTCGGCCCACACAGGCGTGTGTCAGATCCTGGGCACCAAGTGTATCCGCGGCGGGAAACATCGTATCAGGGTGGGCGACATCATTCGCTTCGGCAGTGTCGGTCTGTTGGTCACGGAGATCGACACGGGAGGCGTCGGCCCGAACGACGCGACACTGAGCCCCTCAGAGGTCAACAGCCTCATCCAACGCGTCGTGTGCCACGATGAAGCCCTGGCCGACGTGGACAGCGGCATGGACACGGACGACGAGAACGGAGACGCGTCGGGTAACGACGAATCCAAGCCCCGCTCGTCTCTGCAGAGGCAGAGCACCAGCGCCATCTGCTACGTGTGCTATGACGAGACAGAGGACGACAACCCGCTCATCGCTCCTTGCAAGTGCTCGGGCGACACGAAATACATCCATTTGAACTGCCTCAAGCGCTGGAACACGAACGGCGAGAAGAATGAGATCTGTACCGTACTGGACGAAAGTAACGCCCGCACCTGCTCCATCTGTAAGGCCCCGTATCCCAGCAAGACGCGGCTGCCCAATGGCAAGGTACTGTCACTCCTGCCAGACAGACTGAACCCCCCGTGTATCATGTTCCAAGTCGTGACGAAGCACTCGTCATCAACACTGAACTTGTCCACGCGCTACCAGTTGAGCTACAAGATGCTCATGGACAACGACATTCATCGGCCACTTATGGTCGGACGCTCGTCGCAGTGCGACCTGGTGCTCAAGTACCGCACAGTGTCGACTATCCACGCCGAGATCCACTACTCGAAGGGCGAGTTCTTCCTCAAGGACGCCGGTAGCTCTAACGGCACGCTGCGGTACATTTACCGTCCGTTGACGCTGCATAACAACCAATCGCTGCACGTCAAGTTCGGCCGCACGGTATTATCCATCAAGCCGACCAAGAAGATCCGACTGCCGCACTTCTTCGGCACGGCCGGCCACCTCCACGCCAGTGGCTCACGAATGGAAGACAGCGGCGTCCAGGACGACGACGAGCTGTCCAACACGTCCACTCCTCGTAACAATAGAATCCGATACTACGCGGCGCAGCAACAGGTGCCGACGCAGCAGCAACAGCGCCAGAATTTGCAGACGCAGATGCAAAACTTAGATCTGTAACGACGCAAAATGTGTGCGCGCTCGTTGGCTTGGACCGGATTCCGTTTGCGTCAAGACTTCCCTTCCCCGCCGCCATCGGCCGAGCCGCTCTTGTACCATCACCTTCAAGAGCCGATGCTTGGGATATCGATCACCTTCGACTTTGGCCTTCCCGTGCCTCTTTGTTTTAATTACTTATTCGACCCAAGACACCCAGAAAAAAAAACTACAGAAACAGAAGAGAGGCCGGTAGCAGCAAATTTATTTGTCTGTGAATGAAGTGACCACGTCGTCTGAATGAAGAAAAAGTATACCAGAAAAAAGATGAAGTTATGGTGGTGTGCGGTTGGAGCAATCGCTACCTGGTTGGCGAACGAGTGCCGATAGTAAACGTTACCGCGTAAGTTCGGGCACATCGTGGTGGTATTGGAAGTAGCGGTGCGAACCTGGCCTACAGCGTTTAGGAACATTCATATTCTACATCTTGTAATAACAGTTTGCGAATTGGCTTTCTAAATTTTAGCAAGAACGCAAGATAAACAACATCAACACGTAGTTTTCAGCAATTGCGTTTTTGCAGCACTTGGTATGTGTGCTCAATCGTCCGTTAGGTTGGACTCGAGGACACCAATGGCCATGGACTGCAGCATGGCCTGCTGGAAACGCGCAGCCAAAGTGGGGTGCGCCTTTTGCATGCGCGCGTAGTGGGACTTGCTAAGGAAGAAGACGGAGCTTGGAGCCCGGGCCTGTGCAGTGAACTGATGACGTTTGTGAAGAATCATCTCGGACGCACCCACCAGTCCTCCTTGGCACACACGTGTAATGCGCTTGAGACCTCGGAAACCCGGACCCAAACCTTCGTGGATCTTGGACGGCATGAACACGTCCACCTTGCCGTATCCGATGAAATAGACTCCGTTTACGAGTCCACCGGCACGGTACAGCGTGTCGCCTTCTTGCTTCAGCCAGTGAGTCACGTACATCTCACCAAGTTCTCGCGTGAGAATCGAGTCGCTATCTTCACTACTTCGAGGCTTGGAGTTGCCTAGATCGTTCTTACGGTGCGAGCCATCAGGACGAGGTAAGAGCTCGTCAAGCAACTGCCAGCGCTGTCCTTCCTCGTTAACTGCAGGTGCAGACTCACTGAGCGGTAGAATTCCCTCAGACACCAGCAGTTCATCCTCACACCACTCCAATGCCTTATCCAGTGTATCAAACACAAGTGATCCTGTACCTGAGCCGTCTTCTTTCTCAATCACGTCGTGGACACGTAGTAAGCGCTCAGCATCCGTCGGAACACTTGCGAAGATTAGGGCAATGCCGTGCTGTGCCAATAGCTCCTTGGTGGCGTTAAAGCAGCTCCGCACAGCCGTGGCATCTACACCGCTCACCTTCTCAAAATCCAAGATAAAGTACCTTGTACGAGCAGCATGCAGAGCAGAAGACCCGTTCTTGCCGGCTTTAGGAGTAGATGAGTAGCCGTGCATCTCGTGGTCATCGAAGACTGAGTCTAGCGTAGTCAGGTCGTCGTTGAAAGAGTCATTTAGTGAGCGAGCGACGTACGGCGACGGCGCGTGACGTCTGGACAGCATGGGTGAGGCACCGGATAATGTACTGGTCTTCGCCTCTTGTTTCTCTGTATTAGTGACCAGTACATGACGACGCACTTCGTCCATGACCTTCACACTCGAACCGAAGAAGATGTAACCTTCCAATTCTAACGTGACGATGGCCATGCGCATGTTCTGAAGCAACACGCGTTCGCGGAGGTCTCGTTCAACACGCGATCGCTTCATGACTCGATGAACACTGGCCGTCGCGATGTACGAGTAAATGAAGTTGAAACCTGCAATGATGATACCCACTACGATACCCAGCTCGAGGTTCACGAACACCATGGACAGAAACGTAAGCCAGACGATGCCGTATTCGCGCGGAAGCAGCTTGTTGCGCGCGTGCCAGAGCCACTCCGTTATGAGATCGAGACACACGAGCATCTGCAACGCACCGAAGAAAACCTTGGGCACAAACGCGATGATGGAGAATGGACTCAGCACAATAGCGATCTCGAGGAAGAACACGATAAGACCGACGTAGCGACTGTCGAGTTTGCCGCGAAGCGTGAAGATGGTCTGTGAGAAGAGATACGAGCCGGTGAAGCCGCCGCCAAGACCTGAAAGCAGGTTACTGATGCCCACGGTTTGAAGCTCGTGGTTGTGATCCAGCGGCTTACCCAACGCCGTCTCGACAGCAGCCACATCCAGCGATGACGAGAAGGCCACGACGAAGTACATGGCGATCCACGTTGGGATCTGCTCGGTCAAGTGCGAGAAATTGATCTTGGAAAAGTCGTAAAAGCCGTAGATCTGCGTGATGGTACGCGGCGACGGCGGTGGCTCGGCCACCCATCCGGCCGTGCGAGCGTCGTCAAGAGATGCTCCGGTGACGAGCAGCAAGCCGTAGAAGGTGATCAGCATTGCGGCCAAGCAGCAGGGCATCACAGCCATGTGATTCCAGCGAGAGTTGACCCAGAAGATGATCGTGCCGGCGACGACGCCAGGCACGGACAGCATCAACGCGTCCGCGTCGGCCAGCTTAATCCAGTCAGCCGGTTCCTTTATACTCTGCGCGGTCATCATGGAGAGACCTGCTTCAAGCGCGTAGAAACCAATGAAGGCCAAGTATCCGCCGACCACAGGCATCGGTAGATATTGCACGAAACTGGCCAGTCGGAGCTTGCCGGTGACGATCAGAGCTGCCCCCAGCACGGCCGTCGACACGGCCATCGTGAACAACGTGGTGGCCAGCACCTCCTCCATTGAGAAATCATCACCTCTCATCTCGTGCAGCGACTTGATGATGGACGAGCACATGGCCGAGAGGAAGATGAGACCGGCGTCCTGCACTTGGCCCATGGCGAACGGCAGCGAGCTGACGCACGTGAAGCAGATCTGGTGCACGGCGGCCGACACCAGCACGAGCTTGACCAGATCATTCATGTAGGGCTGGAACTCCGGGTCGCGGAAGATGATCTGCGCGAAACTGATCATGAGTGGCACGAGGATGACGGTGTTGAGCACGCCGTACAGGCCGATCTTGATCTTCCGCTGTGTGGGGGTGAGCACGGGGCCGTCCTTGGAGCGCAGCAGCGAAGAGTTCTCCTCCACGTCCACGACAACGTCGTCCATGCTCACGGACGCGACGCCGGCGCGACGCGGGTGGTACGAGTGGCGCGGCGTCTTCATGCTGCCGCCGGGCACTTGCGGCAGGCCGCGCATCGAGAACGGTGTGCTGCCGTCGTAGCTGCGACTAATGGCCGGTGACTCTGGCATCAGGAGGCTGGACACCGGCGACCGGCGCATGCGTGGCGTGCGCGCCGTGGCACCCGTGCTGTCCATGGCGATGGCGAGCGAAGCGGGCTAGCGAAGAATGCAATGCTGGGTAGGAGGTGAATCAAAAACTGTGACGCGGCCAGCGCCACGCACGACGAGCTGAGACCTTGGCCCTTTTTTATAGGCGCAGCGGCCGCTCGGGGCGCATCCCTTGAGCAGCTCCGGACGTTGATGTGGTAGGCCCAAGGCTCCGTCCGAGTCGGAATCTCCACACAGCGGTGGGGGTAATTTTTGATGCACTCGCTAATACAGTCTGCTTGCAGGCCCAGCAGGTCGTGATTGCGAGGTCCAGTCAGCTGGTCCGCGACGCAGAGATCGACCACGTTGGTGCTGCTTCGGTAGGCGAGCGGCCGAAAAAAACATGTTTGCTGTTCATTTGGCGCCCATGAAAAATGGTGGCAGGTCTCAAATCCCCAGCAGCTGAAGCCTTGGCTGGCTACACGATAGCGGAGACTTGTCTGCAAGACGGCAGCCAATTGCCTTGCTGTCCAGCATGGGCTCCGTGACTTGGCCGGGATGCTCCGATCTCCCTGCTCTTCGCCTCTCCGGCTCGGCAGCACAGTCGCCGTGGTGACCACCAACAGTGTGCATGTATCTTGAGTCGCTCCATGCTGCTCGCTTTTTGTCCTCGTCGGCGGAATGGAGGACAACGTCTGTTTATCCTTGAGATGAACCCGTAGTGCCTTTCAAGATCGGCCTGCTTGGATGAACCGATAGGAAGCTCTTGTCGGGCGTTAATGGCAGGCCCGGCCCCCTTGCATTGGTGGCCGAAGTTCGGCCGCCGAACACAATCGCCTTTATCCAGACCAGTGCACGGCACTCTTTGGGACAGCTGCGCTAGGGCAAATTTTCCGCCGCAACGTCGTGTTTCGGCCACCGTGTTGTGTTATCGGTGATGTGGCTGGTGCAGACGCGCTGACATTGTCAGTGACAATGGGCTGGCGTCCCAAGCTGGGACAGTGGTGCTGTACAATGAGCGTGTCGCTATGTAGTGTGCTACACTGCAGTTGCAGGTATCCACGGATGCAATAATGCATGCGTGAAGATCCATTAGCTCAACGTGAAGAGCTGAAGACAGAGCTACGTTCCCGTACGCCTTCAGACTATGAAAGCCGACATAGTGACGATGAAACGCAGAGCTCAATGCGGTCCATGAAAGGGCACCCACCCGTAAAGGATCTTTACTAGATCGATGCTTGTCAATGATTCTGATGGCCATCAACAGTCACGCTTGGATTTTACTCACTAACGATGCGTTCTACTCCCTTGGGGTGGCCGAAGCTGCTGGCGGTGGTGGCCTTCCTGGCCATCCTCCATTCTACTGATTCGACCGCGTTGGAATTCACCAGCCACTTGGTCGTGTCACTCGCAAGCAACGGCACGTCCTTCATTGCATCAGCCAAAGAGCTACCCAGAGACCTACTCATGACGCAGTTCACCGACAAGAAAGTGACCAAAACGAAGACCAAGAAGAGCATCGACAGCAACGAGATGGTCCAGGACGATCTGGCCATGTGCTCGCAGAACCCGCAGGGCGTCTACCATGGCCAGATCGACGTGTTGCTGCTGTTCTCCAAGTGCGTGGAAAACTCGACACTGGTAACCATAGAAACTTGGGCACGGGACATGAAGAGAATTGTGGCCGACACTGTCGACAAGAACAGCGGTGTCGCCCTTAACTTTCAGGCCACACTGGTACGAGGTCAATGCTCTTACGCAGCACACGGAGACAGTGAAGTCACTGCGGACGACCTGGACCGGGTAGCCGCATTCCAGGGTTTCGGAGATGTTTATCAGCTAGATTCAGCTACAAGGTCGACGGACAGCTACACTGCGGCCATCACTTTCGCCACGGATGGAATTTCATACAACGCGATCATTAACTTCGAGAACATGAATCAAATCGCCAGTGTAGTGAACTTCCAGATGTACGGCAGTGGAGACAACTGTGAAGGTGGGCCGGAAAGCTGCATCGAGTTAAAGCACGTCGACGATATCTTCATGTACAACCCGTTCACGGTCACGCAGTCGCTGGACTGCGCAGATCTCGAGAACGGCGTTCCTGTCGCACTCATCGATGACAACGGTACTCGTCAGTGCTGCTGCGGCTGTCCGGCCGGCTTTGAGATGCAAATTATGGGACGTGATAAAGCGTGTGTGAAAGTGGGAAACTCTGCCTCGACCTGTGTGTGGAGCAAAGTGAGCGGCTACAAACACCAAGTGGACTCTCAACTTAGCATCTGCTCTTTCGATCATATCGTGGACAAGTGGGGCTTTCCGCTCCCTCTTCCGACTAGTGGCTACAGCTCGAACAAGCGCTTGCTTGCCGATGGCTCATTGGACCCTCGTGTACGCGTGTCGGCTGTAAAGATACAGAACCCCGAGTACTATGCAGGATACCTCACTCCGATTCTCGGTACTGTCACCTCGTCGTGGCCGATGAGGTTTAAGGACGTAGTTGCTCGAGCTCCAAACGCTGCAACATTCGACCCGATGGTGCCATGGCCAGGCACCATCGGGTCGCCATGGCGATCTACCCATACACGACGCAGAGAAGATGTGGAAAGACTACCAGTCAAACCGGGCCGAAGCAGTGAACAGCATCGTCTTCAAAGACTACGGGAAATACCGGTACCCCCAGGCCAAACTTTTAGGCGTTTACAAAATTTTACAGAATGATCCACGCGGAGTGCTTTTCGCACCATTAATGAGCTCATCACCTGCTCACACAAAACACTGTATATTGTTGTAGATTGCATCCATGTTGCAGACATCGTCTCGGCCCCAACCGGTTTCTGCCTCACGCAATACTGGCCAACTGAAGGCGGACTGGGAGCTAAATAATTTGGATTGGACAACTGAAGCTGGCCGACTCGATCCGCAAAAAGCCAAAGTAGCTTGTAGTACCGCTTCCCACGCCGGCGGCGTATGTGCTCCACTGTACTGGACAATCCATGGGGAGAAGTCATCCCCTCGTGAATCAGCTCCATTAACACCTTAGAGAATCCTCCCTTTTCCGTCATGACAAAGGGAAAATGCATTATTAAGCGAACCTCACTCTGGATATAGTCCGCATTCACAGTTGAAAAGCAGCCCTTGTTCTCGCCAGTACATTGGTACTTGACGTAGAGTAGATGACACTTGGTTTCTACGTCTTCAACAACTCGCTGTTTATACCCTTTCACACGTGGTGAGCAAGAACACCCTGGCATGATACAGTGAGGGGCTTTAGATGCGCTAAGGCACTCAGGAACCGACACAACAACGGGCCATGAAAAAAGCGATGAGAGGAGAGAGTTGTCGCGTGAGCCTTCGGGATACTGAGCCACGGAAGGGAATAGCTTCCTATTCAGTGCCTCAAGAATGAGTCTTCTGACCTCCTGTTGCTCTAGGCGATCTTCAGTACTCGCTTGGCTAGCTGCTGGCTCCATCAGTTTATGGCGTTCTTTGGCGAAGATTTTAGCTATGACTTGAATAATGTATTCCAAATGCTAAATACTAAAGTAGATTATTAGAGAAGCCTCTTTTAAAATATTATACAGAACGGAGTATCGGAGTTCGGAGTTCGGTGTCGGATATGGCGGGGCCGACAGACCCCGCCATATCGAATAAACCCATGGTGTGCAGTTTTATTTTCTAGTCGTCAGTAGCGACTGCTATTACTTGTGTGTTCTTATTGTGAGTTCTACTTAAAATTGTCACGGGCGGTTCTTTGAACAAATCCCCAGCGTGTATAATTCCGTATACTGACCCGTTTAAGTACGAAATAAGATCACGGCATGTGGCAAGAAAAGACTTGGTGGGTTCTACCAATGACTTGGGTTTGTATGTGGGCGATTGTCCTCCCGCTCCTCGAACAGACTCAAATCGGCAAGTTGGGACGGAATCCACAATAATTAAACCCAATCAGCTCGTCGCCGGGCCTCCGATGTGTACCATTGTAGGTTACTTACTAAGCACGAGCATTTGTCATGTGACGTTGTTGAAGAGCATCTGATTACGATAGTCGATGATTATTGCAACTAATCTCAACCGACCCATGTCGCCTCGCTGAATACTAGTACCGTAGTGAAGAGTACCACCAGCACTCCATAATGCTTTGCACTCTCGCCATGCGCACAAACATCTATGCAATCCGAGTAGATTCTTACACATAGGAATCGAGCATGGCTCCCTCCGACGACACGACAGTTCTTACCCATGATCCGAATACGGCATTCCTAATTTCTCTACAAGCCTCCGACCGCATTTCACCATGGTTCGTATCTTATCGGTGCTTCTTCTGTCGAGCGTAGTTGCACTAGTGAGCGTCACCGAGGTGACTGCAAAGCTGCCAGTTATCTTCTTCCATGGTGTACTAACAAACTGGGAGTTCGGGCACAATTTCGCCAAGAATCTCACCGCCGAAGGTCGTGAAGTCGTTGCACTCTCATTCTGTGGACGTCAGTGTTCCATCGGGTCCCTCATAACTCAGACCCCTCAGGCAGTCAAGGCCGTCCGTGCTGCGGTAACCAACAATTTTGCTTTCGACGACGGCTATATCGTCATCGGACATTCTCTTGGTGGACTACTCGCTCGCGCTGCAATCGAGGAAATGAACAACCACAAGGCCAAGCGATCCATCAGTCTGGCAGGACTGCAAAACGGCCAATTCCTCGGACCCAACGCCATTGAAATGGCCATTGAATATGGAGCTCGTCCCCTCACCAGCATTGTCCCTGAACGTGTGTTCAACTACAGCAAGTACGAACCAGAAGACTGCTACGGCAAGATGCAGAAGGATTTCACGATCTTCTCCATCGAAAACCCAGACACGCAGCTCGAGTACGCACAGTTCAACGTCCAGCGTTGGCCGCAGTTCGGGAGTTGGTCCACCACCAACCAGTTCCTACCCGTGTACAATAACGTGAACCCGTGTCTCCCAGGCAACGATCAGAGCATCGGCGACCAGCACCGCCGCAAGACTAACTTCATCAAACTGGAGGAAGCGCACTTCTTCGCTTCACCTGTGGACGACGCCATTATGCCATGGGAGAGCTGTATTTTCGGACGCTACACCGAGGTGGACACGCTCGAGGAGATCGAGACGGCCTTCATAAACAGGACGGTGATTAACATGAAGGATACACTCGAGTACAGAGATGACACCTTTGGACTGCGTACGCTGGATGAACGTGGTGGACTTCACCTTCACGTGGCTCCAAACGTGACGCATAGCTGCTGGTGTGTGGATGAGAAGTACTGCAAGTGGGCTCCCGTGTACGACCAGTACATCTACCCAATCCTGAACTGACTTTGAACCGTAATGATAGCTTGTGTTTCCCGTAAGTTAGTTCAGCAACGGATAATACAAGTCTGAATCTACCTGTGCAGAGCTAACAGCAGTCTTGCGCCGGCTTCTAGCTACTAGCGTGACTGCAACAGCGAGCACACCGCCACTCAGCAGCATCATGACAACTGGGTGGTTTTGTGTGGCTTCGGCGGGTAGAGAGATAGGGAAGTAGTAGTTGCTGTAAACTCCACTTGGTTCACAGCGCATAAGGTCGGCGTTTGAGTCTGGTGCATCCAGTATTGCCGTACACACCACCTTGGCTCCAGCGCAGCCTTGGCAACATTCTTTTGCTCCCGATTCCACAAACGTAGTCGTCTTCGTGCTTCGTACGATGTTCCCACCGCATGCTTCATACAGTCCAGATTTTTCTATGCCGGCGCATGCGTCGTACCCTCATTTGGTGTTCAGTACATCGAACTGGGGTTCTTTACAGTCCGATATGGAGAAGGATTGAACACTTCCGATTTTAGCGCAAGCCACGACAACGTCGAGTCGTGATTGGGAGGCGTCTTCGCTTGAAGGGGACGTAATTCGACACAAGATTGCCCAAAAGATCGCAACGTTTGACTTCAACAAACTATAGGAGCTTCTAATTTGAGCATAAGGACCAGCTAACGAGCAAGATACTCGAACCATGGAGAGCAGTCTAGCCTTGCATGATCACCGCCCTCCACCGGCACCACCTGACGACGGGGACACTCAAGAAGAAAAGTGTAACCGAGCATGCAATGGCGTTATTGACCTCACGACCCCAATGGACACCGACGAAAGACAACCGGGAACGCAGGGCGAGAGTTTAAACACGGAAAACCAACTCAGCGTGCAGATCCCACTGACGCAACCTTCCGAACTTGGAACCTCACAGAATGAGCCCAACCGAGAAGATGACAACCAGCCGGATCCAGAACCCAATGGGTCGGATAATGAATCGATGGCGGCGTCTTCGGAGCCGCCTGTGTATGATGACGCAGACATGGAACCGCTTTCCTTCCACGAGATGTACGCGTACCTAAAAAGCCAGCTGAAAGGCCTCCCCTTAGACCAAGCTAAAGGGGTAGACTGTGTAGAAGACTACATGCAACAACTCTTCACTGAGGTTTTCGAAAACCACACTGAGGAATGGCTACCGCCGCAAAGACGCCACTATCCTGACTTGGAACCAGATGAACTCGAAAAACTGCTCAACTTGTTCTTAACCGACATTAAAGAACCCAACGCAGACGCTCGTAAATGGAGGGCAAGACTTCAAACGTTAACCCGATCCATTTACAAGTCGCGCAGCTCATTGAAAGAAACGTTGGATGTACTAGAAAAAACGACTCAGGCGAAACCTGCACCCACAGTAAATCCTTGGGCTCGGAAACTGCAACAAGATACAGGGTCAAGACGAAATGCAGAAACTGGTACTGCTCCGTCCACGTATCGGTTCTTAAAAGAGGTCTACTCCGAAGAAGAAATTACGGAACTTCGAAGCATATGTGAAACCAGATATCGCTATCCGAGGAATCTCCGTAAACCGACAGCCCAAGAGGAGAGAATCATAACTGGGCTAGTGGAAGGAACGATATTATGCCCCCGACTACCAGATTTTCTGAAACGCATCTGCAATCACCAAGCTTTTCGACGAATCCAGAATACAATCAGGGCCCAAGTGGAAGGAGATTTAATTTTGCAACTTGATCCAAAGTTCAAGATTTATCCGCAGTTCCAAAATCGTAAGAGGCTCACGAGTGAATTCCTACTCGGAATTGACAACAGCGCAAATGACACCAACAAGGTCATTACAATGCTTCAGGAAGCCAAGCAAATCTGCTACGAACAAGGGAAACACGCGATTCACTTGATCTTCTACACAAGAGAGGCGGCAACAAAATGGGGAAAGGAGTTCAGTCGGCTACTCTTTCGCAACCGACATTTTCCCCTCCAAAACGCTCATGAACCGGTTCAAGACACTGCAACAGCTTCTGGCACCAGAGCAGAAAGAGTGTGGGCACGGCAGGTGGGCGCGGACGGAATTCCGGACGAACAACCGCGTGATAGATACCACGTACGGCTTATGAACCTCTCGAGATTCTTGGATGAAGCGGCAATCGACGAATATAT